TCAAGAGCTCCTCTACTTGGCTTGGACCCCACATTCAAGGTAAAACGAAATGCCCATGTTAAAAGCCAAAGTTCCCATGAGTAACTATTTTCAAAGGAATAATAATTTTCTATTACTGCTGCCTCCCTACAAACCTGACTGATTTGCAACTGAATCTCTAACTGTCCCAGAGAGCCTGGTAGTCACAAAGTGACAGCCGAGGAGTGTCTGTGCTACTTCTCCAGGCACTTTGAAAGACAGTTTCTGCCCAGCACACCATCCCCCACCTTGCCAGGTGCATTTGAGGAGGGAACAAGAAATCAGACATTGTACTCATCAGCTACCAGACAAGTAATTTAAACTCCTGTGCTCAGCTATCCTCAATAAGCTGGTGTGAAAGCCCCATTGCATCTTTCTTGGCTTGTGAAAAGCAATGGCTAATTAACTTTCTCAGTTGCTTTGCAATAGCATTGGATGGCAAATCGCCATAGTCATGCAAATCTTGTCTTTTAAAGTCATTTTTGAATGGATCTATGTTTCTTTTTGTTGACAGAGAGAGACAGTGAGTTGTCATGTTCACAAAGATGACCTAACTTGAGCTTCTGTGGTTTGGGATCCTGCCTGCCTGTGTTTTGCCTCCAAGGCAGAGCCTACGTCTCATAGCCAGGAGATTGTGGTTAGTTTCCTGGCCTCCGACCGAGGTGGGGACACACCTGCACCCCTGAGGGAGGGAGAGCCTGTGGAGGGTCCATGAGGCCGGGGCTGAGTCACTCAGCCAGGAGACATGTCAAGCAGCATTAGAACATCAGTTTGGCACCTCAGGAGCAAGAACCCACTCAGAAATTCCTCTGTGTTAACAACCTAGTCCATTTTCAAACCAAACCAAGGAAAGAAACTTAAGTTTGGTGTCACTTTATCTTACTCCAACACTGGGGTTTACTCCTCCTGTGAAATCTCCCCCCAAAAAACCCTCAACTTCACCCCCAAATTCAAGGGAAGTGAAGGGCCCCCAGCTGATAATATTTTATCTCTCAGTTTCCTCTCTCTGACTCCCAATACTCAGTCTAGTTCTCTAAGATTTTGCAAATTTAGAAAACCCCTCTATAAGTCATCATCTTAGATTTTTCTACCTAATCACTTTCCTCTTGGAAAATTATTTGAAGTGTAACTTGAATAAACCTGAACTTTTGTCCTCCCTTATGAAAGTTCATCTCCATATCCAAAAGAAACATAAGTTGAACTCCAAATACCTTAAAAATAACATAAATCTTTACTAAGTTTCAAGAAGTAGCCATTTTTCTACTCAAAGTCCCACAACACAGCTGCATTTAGCCCCATTTTTTCTGCAGAGAATGGCTCCATGCTTTTCCTGAGGTAAATTAATTTAGTCTGTTAGATTTCTGTCATACTTCCACCCAACCATCACCTTCATCAGTCACAAGAAATGCCCCCTCCACCTTCCCAAGCCATCCCATGGAAGGCTGGAAGGGAAGAAAGGCTATAACTACTTGTGACTCAGGGTCTTGGTCCCAGAAGTGAGAACAGGGGAAGAAAAACAAAAAAAAAGGCCTACAGCACTGTTAGTGCCGGAGAGGCCTTCTTCAACCTCAAGATGGCAGCCTCCTGAACAGACCTGGCTTCCAATATGACTGCCTTCATCTCAGAGGTAGCAGTATCCTCAGGGCCCTAACCCTTTGTAGGGCCTTGGGGCAACTTTACACAGAGATAAGCATACCAGTCTACGTGTTTGTCTCTGTGAAGCAAGAGGTTTTGAAGAACTCAAGTGGTTTTGATATAACACGAGGTGTGGTGAAAAGAGAAAGTCGAGGTCCATATCCAGCTTGATTTTCATTCCAATGAGCCATTTTGAAATGAAGGAGATAAAGCCTTTCAAAAGATGTCATCTATGATTTGAAATAATTGAGTTCAGTTTAATTTTATGCACAGTGTAGTTGAAGAGCTACGTGACTGCTTCAAGTGTGTTTTGCAGTCTCCAGAGCTACTAATTAGCTCAACAACATAAAGGTTAATGAGATAAAGCATCTATAAATCAACTTGATGGCTGATGCTAGAAGAAAAGCCCCCCAACTCCTGTTTTACCATAACACTATAACTCACTCTTCTAGACTGATTAAATTTGATCATGTGAATATATACAAATATGTATAATTATAAAATTCAAAATTAAATTGAAAACTAAACCAAAATCCCTTTCTAAACTTAATTATTTGATACCAACCAGAAATTAAGTCAACCATAAATTAACTATTAATAGAATTGTTTTGATGAAAGATGTAAGAGTGACCCTTCCCCAAAGCAAAAGTCGATGTTATATATTTTTTTAAGTTCTTTAAAATGTGGATATAAACTTCCAAAAATAAAATTATGGTTTTATTTACTAAAGTTATAGGGGAGCTTGGGATTTAGAGGACATTCTGGTGAATCATTCTGTAATTTGAAGGCTCTATCCCACTTAAGTTCTCTATTTGTATATATGGGTTTTTCAGAGGCTTATGAGAGAAAAAAAAAAGCTCTTGAGTCAAAGGAACAAGGTTAACACCTTGGCTCTACCACTTGCTGTACTTACTCTGTGTCCTTGGGCAAAATGCTTAAACTTCTATGCATCGATTTCTGCATCTGTAAAATGAAAACAGACTCTCATAGGATTTCCATGACGATAAAATGTGATCATCAATATAAATGACTTAGTATGGGCCCTGGCACAGAAGACGTCATGCAAAGTAAGTTATGATAATTATGATGATGTAGGCCTAACTATACTTAGACTTTCTTCTTCACTCTTTGCAGGAAATGTACAGTTTTGAAGCATGGATTTTTCAGAAGCAAAGTTCTTTGCAAAATGAGGTGGAGGTATAGTTGCTATAGTATCAAGCTAGTGTGAGTACAATGTTTAGCAATTCTCCTTCTGTCAGGACTTGATGTACCTGTTCTTTTTTCCTCCTCACAGACTTTTTTTAAAAACTTTAAAAATTAAGAGTTACTATTTTCTCAGCATCCACATCCCTGGGAGATGGGAAAGAATCCCATAAATATTTTAAATGAGACCTTGAATAGAAATGGCCTTATTCCTTAGGCATATTTTGAGGCTTTGGTCATACAAAGGAAATTTCAAGATCTTCTGACTCGCTCTGATCTTTGTGATTAGATGCCATTTCCTCCTGCAAGAGCTCCTTGGAAGCACGGTCGGCCGAGAGCTGACTCTCAGATCTGTCCACCTCTGCATGTCCCCTGCATGGGCACGTGTGTGTGCACAGGCACATATATACATGCGTGCATTTGTATGTTCCTAGCAGGCAAGGATATTCTCTTGGGCTCTAGGCTAAAGAGCTCCACCATTGAAAGAATGTGAGTAAATGCTGACAGAGCATATCAATTACTGGCTCTGATGACCAGAAAGTGACTCCATTTTAGTTTTAAAGGTAAAGAGTAACGGAGAGAAGAGGAAGGTAAAACTGCAGAAAGCAGGGCCTTGCAGCCACAGCCCAAGTCGGCCAAGCCCAGCTGACCTTTGCTTAGTCTTTGAAGAGAACACAAACTTGTGTCTGGCTATTGCATCAGCTGCTACACATCTGCCCTGCCCTTCCCCACCCTGGGAAATCCTAAGGAGGGTTAAGTAACAGCCTGTGAGGCAACCACTCAGGCAGGGGAAGTCTGGGGGAGGCTGTCTCATTCCTTCCAGCCAGGCCCCACCCAGCAGGCACTCCTCAAATCCAAGCCCATGAAGGGAAAGTAGTCCTCTCGCCAGGAGTCCCTCCTGCCTCCTGCATATGTGGGTGAAGGGCAGGATCGCTGAGTCTTCTCTTTTGACCCCAGTAGGGTCCAGCATCTCACAACGTTGGAATGAAGACCTCAGAGGAAGCACCTGTTCCCTTTTATAGATGATAACGTCGAGGCCCAGGGAAGCAAAATAACATGCTGACAGGCCCACAGCTGGGTTGCATCAGCATGTTCAAACTACAGCCCACAGCACTTTTCTGAATAACCTCAGGAACAGCTACAGGATCAAAGTGTTCATGAGACCATGCAAAACCTGGGCACTGTCACAATTTGTGGGCCCTCATTTTACACTCACAATTGCAAGACACGAATCAAACACAGAGTGTAAGAATAGTTTATTTACAAGAGGGATATTGGGAGACATCAAAGAAGGAAAGAGTTTCTAAAGCCATAAATGGCCATCTGTCCTACCCCAGATAGTGTCCAGTGGTCCAAACCAAAAGCTGCTTATGAAAGATGGCATTGTCCCTTCGATGAGAGTGTAGAGCTGGTGGCACCCCGAGAAGCAGTGGACCAGGATCCAACTCATGGTGGCAAGTAGAGGTAATCATGCCGGTCCTGCTGAGGTAGCGCCACAGCAGCCAGCAGTAATGGTCCAAAAGCCCAGCTGGGCAGCACTGGAGGCAACAGCAACAGGAGACAGTTCTAGAAGTAGCGCAGGCACAGGCCAGCAGTGATTGTCTGGGGTAATGTTGAGGATCAGGCAGCAGCAGATAGCTCTTAGAGGCACTGTGAAGCTTCAGCCAGAATACCTGGGTTCAGGTCCCAGCTTTGCTACACATGTGCTTTAGTCTTGACTGTGATGTTGCCTAATGTCTTGACATTCCTGTCTCTCCATGGTATGTTAGTGACCATAATAACCATCCCCAGGGTCAATGTATAAAATAAATATATCAGATAAAAAATTACCCAGGAGGGTGCTTTGCTGATGCTGTATGAATACACAGGCCCACAAATCACCCTTGTCTAGAGAGATGACACCATGGGTCAAGCAATGTCCATGGTAACAGAAGCATTTTCTTAATGCTACTCAAAAACACTCTAAATCCAGCCGAAATGGTGTTCCTCCTGGTACCAACATTGCCTGGGGAATTATTAGGACCTGACACCTATTTACATAGGTGCATGACACAGATGAACATGCAAATCCTAATAATTACTCTACTAGGTGATGAGCCAGAGAAGGAACCCTGTGCCTTGGAGCACAGAGCACTCAACCCTCTCTGGGGAATCAAAGAAGGCTTTGAAGAGGCATCAACTTTTAAGTGGGGTCTTGAGGTATGAGTAAGAGTTCTTCAACAAGAAAAGCAGGGGCACTCTAGGCAGAGGAAACAACATATGCATAGTAGTCACAGAGGTGTGAAAATGTGTCCCATGTTCCGGTAGATCGTGTAGCTAGAGCTTAGTCAGTCTGGAGAGAGGTAACAGAGGAGGGACTTGGTAAGGACAGCAGAATCCTGGGGGCCATGCTAAGAACTTTTGACTTGATTGTGAGTCTGCAAGATACCCACCTGCTCCCTAAAGAATTCCTGGGGGACTGGAGGGAGTCCCTAATGAATTCCCAAGGTGAAGATTTATGAGCCAAGGGCCTACATAACAACCCCCACCCCCATTCCCAGTGCCTGCAAGCCTCCCCTGCCTGGAAGCCAAGCCCAGAAACACCTCCTGAACTGGGCAGGGCCCTTGGGAACAAGCTCCCCTGGAAGGCACAAGTAGCAGAGGGCAGCCTCTTACCTCACACTTTCTTCAAATACAGGCTGCACTTTCTGTAGGTTTCCTCATTCCAGTTCCCCACGGGTATGCAGTCACTGGGAGAACAAAAGAGAATTATCTCCAGCGAAGGAAGAAGTTTGGGGGGCGGGGAGTAAGCCCTGCGCAAGCCAACACCTGGGAGCAAACCCCTTGCATTGCTGGCCTCTGAGGGATGGAAGGCTTTGGAACTGGAAAGAACAAGAGGTCATGTACTCCAGGTGCCTCTTTTAAAGATTTCAGGGAACTGCCCCTGACCCCACCAGTACTGAGTGCACTAGCAAGGGCGAGCATTCTCTCTGTCTCTCTCCACACCTGACCCCATGCAGCCAAGTTCCTGTCTGGGTAAAACCGGCGGCCTCTGTGTCCACCAGCACTCCCTCTGCCTGAGTCTCTCCCATACGTCCCGCCAGTCACAGCCCTGGCCTGCTTTCTGACTCAGAGTTTTGTTAGAAATAGATTTTTACACTGCAGAGTACAGAGAGTGGTCTCCGCTGTTTTTGAAAATTGCAATGAGAAGGAAGGAGGCCAAGCTGCTTCTCCAAAGTGCCCAGGTTTGGGGTTTTATCTTAGTTCATCTTTCTCCTGTGGGGGTGGAAACAAATTGCTCTTGTGGGAATAATCCCTTTTGTTTTTAGGAAAATATTTTAATAGGTCTTCGGGTTATGCAAGGATAGACCTTAAACCTATTCTGGAAAAGAGACAATGCAATTCAGAACAATGAGAAGCTCCAGGCCCTGCGTCAGGATTGTAAAAGGTGGTTTTCTCTTGGAATGAATGGCATCTCTTTGAGATTTATGGGGAGTTTGTTAAATGCTACAGCCTGGCCTTAGCTGTACTTTGGGGAGTTGAGGGAGAGGCCGATGTCTGCGGTATAAAGCAGCAGGACTGAGCTGGTAACGGCTGGGCGGGCTCACCTCCCAGGCAGCGTAGATTCCCTGGAGTCGTGCTGGCTTCACACGCACTTACACTAAAATTGGGAGGATGCAGAGAAAAATAACATGGTCCCTGCACACTGATGCCCCACAAATTCTCCAAGTGTTCCATATTTTAAAATTGATTGTAGAACTGAGGAATCTAGGGGGGAGAAGGAAAAGGCAGGCTGATAGCAAGGTGAGGAGGGAGCACAATTGACTAAGGTGTGGATATGGGTGCTTTGGTGGTGGGTGCACTATGGGCACTGGAAGGGGGGGGGGCTCTGTACTCCAAAAATACAAACAGCATTACATCAGTTGAAAATATTAATTAGATTAAAAAAAAAAAAATTCCCTGGAGTTCTCACAGACACTGGAAGACGGGACCAGGAAGCACTGGGCTGGGACAGGGCTAGTCCTCATCCATGGCGGGGCATGGGGGGGTTGTGATTTGCTCCTCTTTCTGGCCAGGCTGCGGAGATCATCCAAGCCCGTCCAAAACCCACTGAGCTCTTTCAAAAAAGACAGGACAGCAGTCAGGTAAAATGGGCCCCACCTGGCCCCTGCCGGGGCCTGCCCAGAGTGACAGCGCCCCCAGGGGGGCAGAGTGCGCCCTCCCTTCCAGCTGTTCTGAGGGTCCTTAGGTATGATGGGACAAGGACAAAACCTAGCAGAACCTCTCAGTTCCAGTTTTTTCTTTGAAGAAAATTTTTTCTTAAGTACTTTACTTTGAACAGGTAAAATACTTTGTTTTGGAAAAAGTTGTCCTAAGAAACTGGATCATACTGGGATTAAGGATGCATGTCCTGGGCCTCCCTGGTGGTGCAGCTGGGTTGCGAGGCTGCCCACAATCTCTGCAACGCGTGTTAGTTCCTCAGCCGCCGGTGAGGGTCCCACCAAAAAAAAAAAAATGCATGTCCTGCCAGACGCGGGGCACTGTGTTTGAGACAGTAACCTAGGGAAGGAATAAATGGACGTTTAGGATTTATAGTACTTCTGCCTTTTACGAGTTAAAAATTACATTAACAGTATTTATATACTATATTATAAACATTAACATATTGCTATATATTTATATTGTTTTTACAACATAAATATGAAATAATTTAAAACCACAATTTGTAGCCAAAAAATCTATGTTCACATAAATGAAATATACTGCTTTATAGACTATAAATAATATGTAAGTATGTAAAAAATATATAAAGATCACCAGTTAATTAATGTTAACATTTTGGGTTACTTCATTCAGACCTTCCTGTATGCCTATAAACCAAAAAATAAGCAGGGGCCTCCCCGGTGGCGCAGCGGTTGAGCGCTGGCTTGCGAAGCTGCCCGCGGCCTCTGCGGCGCTGGTTTGATCCCTGGCTGCTCCCCGGCCACTGGAGGAGGGTCCCACATGGCGCGCAGACCTCTCCTGCCGCCCGCTGCTCCCCTCAGCAGTGTACTTCGGTCCTTCTGCCTGCTCTGCTCCCCGCTCTGGCTCTGGTGAATTCTCTCACCCTCCCGCGCTTCTGACTGTACCCAGTGCATGTATAAACAAACAAACAAAGAAAGAAAGAAAACATGCCTCTATAAAAATAAAAATAAGCAAACACTTATTTTACGATCACAACTGAAAGAGAACATGCTTCTTTTACAATAGCTCTAGCAATGGTCCCAGGGCCAACTCTCACTGGCCCAATTCATGTGGGTTCATGTGCCTATCCCTGAATCTTGAACCCTCAAAAAGCCAATTTAACCTGTAAGACAGTTTAAGTGAATGAAATTCTGCTTTTTTTGAGTTGTTATACTCAACAAATAAATGAGACCGTGCATGTAGAAGTTCTTTGCAAACTTAATTAGTAAAATCTTTAATTACAAAAATTATTATTAGTACCACCCTTTCTCCATCATCCTTCTTCTTCTCTTCATCTGCTTTTCTGCTTTCTACTCTGTCTACAAAGTCCCCATCATGTCTGGATGAACTACGCTGAGGTGGACTAATAAGATCAAGTGCTACTGATAGTAGTGTTCCCTTGGGTAATGTGGTGTGTGGTGACATGGGAACATGCCATAGAAGAGAGAAACCCACAGCATGCCTGACATTAAGTATCTCCAGAGGCCCTCCCTGGTGGTGCATGGGGTTAAGATGCAATCTGTGAAGCTATCCACAGCCACTGCAGCACGAGTTCAATCCCCAGCCAGGGAGCTGACCCACATTATGCAGCAGACCTCTCCTGACTCGCCCGCTGCTCCCCTCAGCAGTGTATTTCAGTCAATCTGCCTGTTCTGTTCCCTGTTCTGTCTCTGGTGAATCCTCTCACCCCCTACACCTCTGGCCTGTACCCCAGCTCTTGCATGCATAAATAAATAAATCTTTTTTTAAAAATAAATAAAATAAATATCTCAACAGCAGTATAGAATGCTGGAGTACAATAGTGTTGGGCACCCAAAGTTCTGAGTGAAAGTTAATTTTATACCAGAATTCTATACTTATTCAAATAAAGGGAAAGTCTAAGTGTGGAATTAAGATATTTTCAGATATGTAAGAACTCAAAATTTTTACCTCCCACATACTTTTTCTAGGAAGAAAGAGACATGATTCAGTGAACTGAAAGATTAAGCCAAGAACAAGGAACAAAGGGGCTCAAGAAAACAGAGGAGCAATCCAAAGGAGGAGACTAATAAAAGAAAGTACTAAGATGATACCTGAGCCCCAAGTGTAGGGGACAGTCCATTCAATTGAAGCCAAATGACAGAGGATATGGAAGGTAGGGAAAGTAGTGATAGATCACTTGATACATTTAGATATTTCAAAAAGACATTGCTAGATATAGGTATATAGAGGTCTTGAAAATATCAGTAATCATTAAAAAGATACTAAGCAAATAAAAAACTATGGCAACTGTTAACTATAGGGAAAACACAAAGTTGGAGGGAATGTAATTATGCAATTCCATTATTAAATAGTGAACATATTTATAGATTTCATAATAAAATAAACATTGACTAAATATTTCATTTTTAAAAATCATACTGCACTCAGAGGAAAGAAAATCTAAGAATATTAAAAGTTCGGTTACCATGGAGGAAATCAACAAATAGTATCTGTCAAATACACACATGTGAGACAAGGCAAAGTCAAGGCTTTACTGATTCAATTGGTAAAGATACAGAGTCACTTCTAGATTTAGATAGTTTATTACTTACATATACAGAAAAGAGAAGAAGTCAAAGGTACTAGCTCTCTGTGATCCCAGTCCACATACCAGAAAGTGTGACACTGAAATAAAAGTAATAGAATCAGAATTGTCTGTAGAATAGACCTGAAGACTGGGGTCTAAACTTGTGCCTTCCAAATTGTGTAAAGCTATAAACTTAGACAATAATATAAAACCTAAAACCTAGTATCCAGAGTCAGTATATCCAGTAGTATTTGGGTAAAGATAAACACTAAATTTCCAGAAGGAGGTCTCCTCAATCCAAAGTACATACAAAAGAAAACCATAAAAATAATTTCTAGGCAATGTGAACTAAAACATAAGAATTACAGAACATATGAATAAATGCTGCAGCATGAAAAGCCATCTACAACCTGGAAAATTGGAGGACAAACACCCAAGAATTAGAAATAAAAGAGCATGGTAAAAGAGTTCTATATCCAGTTAAATAAAAAAAAGTTTAAAGAGCATGGTAAAAGGAACATTAAAATAGGTTTGTTTAAAACACTTAAGGGAGGGGCCTCCCCGGTGGCGCAGCGGTTGGGCGCTGGGTTGCGAAGCTGCCCGCAGCCTCTGCAGCACTGGCTCGATCCCCGGCTGCTCCCCGGCCACCAGAGGAGGGTCCCACATGGCGCGCAGACCTCTCCTGCCCCCGCTGCTCCCCTCAGCAGTGTACTTCGGTCCTTCTGCCTGCTCTGCTCCCCGCTCTGGCTCTGGTGAATTCTCTCACCCTCCCGCGCTTCTGACTGTGCCCAGTGCTTGTATGTATGTATGTATAAATCAATCAATAAATCTTAAAAAAAAATAAAAAATAAATAAAAGTTAAATAAAATAAAATAAAACACTTAAGGGAGTAAATGAGGGAATACTATATATGGAACAAGAGTAGAAAAGAATGCATGTAGAGAGAGAGAATTGGTGATTTGGAAAATAGAAATGAGAAAGTCTTGCAAATCATAGCTAAAGAGATAAAGGAGAGGATTGAAAAGAGGTGCCAATATTCTTTTAAGTATTATGGGGAAAGTGGAAATGGCAGTGAAAAGACATTCTTCTAAAATGCTGAGAATTTTTCAGGAATGAGGAATGCAGAGCATTATTGTGAAACATCAGTAAAAAAGAAATTCTTGAAGCCAGGAGAAAGAACTTATTACCTAAAAAAGCAAAACAATAAACTTGAGAAGATTCTTCTCATCTACCATAACAGAGACTAAGAGAGAACAGAGTAATAACATCAACGTTCTAATAAAAAATCGTTGTGATTTGGAGTTCTATATCCAGCCAAAGTAAAATTGAAGAGTGTGGGTGAAGCAAAGATAATTTTATGTATGCAAACACTTAAGAATTTTATTAATATAGACTTTTTTTGGCAAGAACAAAAGTGAACCTCGAAGAGAGAATGAGATGCAAGAGGATATGAGGAAGAAAAGAAGCACTAAAATGTTGAGGCAAATTGATTACAAATAGTAAGAATAAAAAGATTAATAATTATGAAAGTAAAACGGAGGTTTGTGAAAGAGGATAAAGCAAGATCAGATCGTTGCCTGGCTTGAGAGCAGGATACAAGGAGGTATTAGTTTAGGCTGTGTTAGAAAGGTATAAATTTGCTTTAGTGAAAAAAATGTATTGATACAGTAGAAATAGAATATATAATTTGAATGCTAGTAGAGGAAAATAAAGAGAATAAAGAAATTTTAATACAACAGAAAAGAAAAAGCAAAAATGTAGCAGAGATTATGCACAAATGGAAACATATTTCAAAAATGTGGCAGAAGAAACAATGTAAGTATAGCATTAATCTCAATAAACATATCTAATACAGCGGTGAAAAAACTTTCTAATTAGATACCATTATCAAAACTCAGTTAGATACTATGTAAGAAAGAACAAATCTTAAAACAATGATATAAAACTGGCTTCCCCACGGGTTGAGCGCAGCGCTGTGGGGCTGTCCGCG